CTTGCAAATTGTAGCCTCTTTTTCCTATTTGTAGTGGAGATGAGTGGTACCCGGTGGAGTCTTCTGCTGTTGTAGCCCATCCGCCTCAAGGTTGTGCGTGTTGTGGCTTCACAGATGCTTTGCTGCATACCTCGGTTGTAACGAGTGGTTATTTCAGTCACTGTTGCCCTTCTATCAGCTCGAACCAGTCTGGCCATTCTCCTCTGACCTCTGGCATCAACAAGGCATTTCCGCCCACAGAACTGCCGCTCACTGGATGTTTTTTCTTTTTCGGACCATTCTCTATAAACCCTAGAGATGGTTGTGCGTGAAAATCCCAGTAGATTAGCAGTTTCTGAAATACTCAGACCAGCCCTTCTGGCACCAACAATCATGCCACGTTCAAAGTCACTCAAATCAACTTTCTTCCCCATACTGATGCTTGGTTTGAACTGCAGGAGATTGTCTTGACCATGTCTACATGCCTAAATGCACTGAGTTGCCGCCATGTGATTGGCTGCTTAGAAATTAAGTGTTAACGAGCAGTTGGACAGGTGTACCTAATAAAGTGGCCGGTGAGTGTATATATATATCCTATGGAAAAGCATTCCAGTAACCTAGTCCTCTGCAGTAACACAAGAAACAAATCACAAACACATGCTTCAATGTCAGACACATTCATATGAAATACAAGACATAGAAGTATAGCCACAACAATCAGAGATCTCAGTGGATTCATGCAGTAGTACTTCAGTAGTCTGTAGAGCAACGGCAGACAAGTTTAGATTATATAAGATATTCAGCAAAGGGTCACAGCATGGAGCCTGGGATGGTGCTGGAAATTCAGTGAAAGACAACGAGACCCACAACCAGAAAGAGAATGAAAGAAAAACAGAAAGAAAAACAGCAAGGGGGGTGGAGTAACCACAGAGAATATGTGTGAGCACAACATGGTGTTCAGATCCTACCACTGTGTGAATAACTGATAAAAGCCTCCACAAGCGACTTGGATGATATTGTGCAAAAGTTTGAAAGGAATGTGAAGCTCACTAATGAACTCAGTGACATTTCAAGAGGAGGGAGAGAGCTTCCACTGTGAGGTCTTCAACATCTCCTCCTGCTGAGATCTGGGGCTCCATAAGCCATCTGCTGCACCCCTGCTACCCAAAGCAGGAGAAAAAAAGCTTTTCAAAGAGATGAAAGGTTGAAGCTTTTTCTCTATACTTCCTCAACTGGAAGATCTAAGAAAGTTACAACTTTTTGAGAGTTGTCTGATACTGAATGAGGCGGATATAGACCACATACGGGACACAGAGAATATTTTCTTAGTCGTTACTAGCTAACTTTAATTGTTTTCTATTCTGGGAAGTATATGTAGGTCTACCTCAGTAAGGGTTTGCTTGAGTTTGTGTGTGGATTGGGTCATATTTGATGTGTAGAAGCAGTTGCTTGGACTCTAAATGACATGAGGGGATGCTGCCCATGGCAGATTCACACCCACAGGTTTTCACACCCACTAAATCTCCCAGACCGTGAAGACAAGAGAAGTCATCAAGAAAGGGTGGCACTTTTGAAGAGCCTCAATAATATTCTGCTACAAAACTAGTAAGCTTTCTCGCTGTCTGCCTACATAGCATCCCCAGTGAAATGGAGCCTCAAGTGACGGATTTGGAATGCAATAGCCAGCTATGTCTGTCTTAGAAACAGTGCTCCTCAGGCAGAGAACATGTGTGTGTGTATATATATATATGTTCTTTGCCTGAGGAGCACTGTGAATGACCACAAAGACACAAGAAAATCACACTTTTCAGCACCATTTCTAAGCTTTGCAACTCTGCAAATATGACTACAGTGCACGTGAAATTCCAACATTTATTGATGCCAGAAAAATATGCATCTAAAACATTGTCCAGAATTGTCCAGTTCCTAAATGTATATGTCATTCAATTATATAATGTTAATATAATATTTGAGCTATTCAATTCTGTCTTACCATAAAATGGACTGATAATAATAACCTAGTAGAAGCCCATATGATTACAAAGTTATATATATATATATATATATATATATATATATATATATATATATATATATATATATATATATATATACAGTATATACTGTATATATATGCACCTTGTGATGATTTTATTAATATTGATTATTAGGTCTATTACACATTCAAGGGTCTACCTACTGTTCTTTGTATTGATGTATTGATTTAGTATCAATACTGAGGTGACAGGGGCTGATATTGTACCAAAGCAAAAATTTTATAATAAAACCCAAAGCCACAGTCTATAATAAAACCAATAATATCCCTGTAACAATTATGTCATAAGTACAATTTCATACTTCAAGCAGGAAAAGAGTATTGCTTTATCACATAATTTATTTAAAATTCTTGTCAGATATTTTGCTGCTGGTCTGTATAAGCACATAATATGTGACTAAGATCAAGATAATTTAAAAAAACACACACACACAAAAAAACGTGACTAGCTTTGCAAATTTGCAAATTTCATCCTTCCGAGAATCTGAGATAAGGTTGACAGAAACCTTAAGATTTCAAACACAGCCTCCTAAAATAAAATAAAATCAAACAAAAGAATGCTTCAAAAGAGGGAAATAAACGCATCTACACAAATGAGAGCAGCCATCCCTTAACAAACAGTTTCAGCAATTTCACACCTCACATTGTTCGTTTTGGCAGCTCTAAAAGTGTCAAGGATACAAAGCGCATAACAACAGGCTAAGTGTTAAAATTGCCATAAAGAGAATCCATCTGGTGCCAAGAGAGCTCAGGAAAAGTGAGAGAGTGATATCACAACTGGCTCCCTGCAATGTGTCCCGTTATCTTCTAGCTAAGCATCCTGGCAGAATGCTCCTCATCCTCACAGCAGGGAAACCTCCTTCATCCTGTCCCAAAAAACAGACAGATGCACAACCACACACACTCTGCAGTCATTATTGGCACGTTGTGAGGCGTGAAGACAACAAAAAGAAGGCAACGTGGAGATCCACGCCATATGATCAACCATAAAACTAGTCTACATGGAAACATCTCTGTTGAATCAAAGTAGCTTCTGTATAAGATAAGTGGGAGAGAGGGACAGTGTCTCATTTGTTAAGCAATAGACCAGCTGTCTCCAGTGTCCAACAAAGACTAATTCCCAGTTAGCCAGCAGGACATTGACGCTGGAGAATAAATCACACAAAGGTCTTTATTGATCTGCTTTGGGGTCTCTTAATTGCTGAAGCGATTGGAAGTGTTTTAGGGGTGGCCTACATTTGGAGCATCTGTTCTATCTTAACAATCACACTCTAGCTAGAATCAGCAGAAGGTCATTCGATCATAGTATTGATGAGTTCTTTGATATTCAGTCAGCATTGTACAGTCGATATCTTGATACCACTGCATGGCATGACATGATGTGATCTTTTAAAACATTTATTGATTAGAAGTGTGGCTCTGTAAGAAGAATGCACATTTGGAGCACACAATTACCAAGCAATATTGAAGCCATTTAAGTAAAAAAAAAAAAAGTTCCAAACAACGGCAGCAAGAGAATGACCACAAAGAAACAAGACAATCACGCTTTTCGGCACCATTTCTAAGCTTTGCAACTCTGCAAATATGACTATACAGCACACCTGAAATTCCAGCATTTATTGATGCCAGAAAACAATGCATCTAAAACAATGTCCAGAAGTCAAAGAATCAAGTTTTTGTGGTTGTAAAACTTAAGATATAAAAACTGGCAGCTGAGGTTGTTGTTACAAGTATTAAAGGACATCATTTTTTTAAATGTTGCAGTTCCTAAATGTACATGTCATTCAATTATATAATGTTAATATAATATTTGAGCTATTCAAATCTGTTGATAATAATAACACAGTAGAAGACCTGTTCCTAGTTTGTAAATTTAGTTCAGCAACTGTTGCCATGAAGGCAAATAAATTAATAATTATAAAAACATAACTTTATCAATAGTGACTTGTTAAACCTCAATTTTCTGAAAATAACTTATTTCAAATTTTATTTTTTTACAGTAAAATTACGTAATACTTTTTTTTTATCAATTTACTGTTTAACACTACATGGTTTTTACTATATCATTTTACATTCTTTTTCATTTTTGTTTTAATTGTATTACTTATTTATATTATCTGCTACATTATTATTTCTACATCAGACAGACCAAAGGTATTCCATCGATCATTAAAGTCACAAAGATGGATCAAGTTTGTATAATGATGTGTGCAAAAGATCCTTATTTGGTAGATCCTTATTTGGAGTCTAATTAAAATTCACATGTAATTGCATGCTTTCAAACTCAGCTGCCCACTCAAATCAAGTCACACAATTACTTCTTCTTTTCGTTGCGTTCATGTTTTTATTTGTAGTTAAAGCACTTTGAGCTCTGGAAAGGCGCTATATAAATTAAACTTATTATTATTATTATTACAATTATGAACATAAAGATATTATCAAGCTTGGGGTCTCTGTGCGCACACAGACGCACTTTCTTACATATTATATTCATTATCTTTAAAATAATGAGGTCTATAAAATATACAGGCCTATGGAAAATAAAATAGTACGCAAATTAAATTGATAAATTGAAAATAAACATATTTGCTCTTATAAATCAATGAAGTAGTCTATATTAAGAAGAGAAGGCGATTGTATAGGGTGTATCCTGATTAGAAAAACGTGGAAATGCTGATCTTGGTTAGTTTTAAAACAAAACTGTTATCCATATCATCTTTCTGACAAACCTAATTTTGCGCTTTGAAAATAATACAAACGGGCGAAAAACCATACTGATAATGAGAATAATAAGAATAGAAAAGAGGCAAAAGTTGTGTCTTTTTTGCTCTAATAGTAAATAATAAATGAACCCCCGAGCGACTAAAAAGCTTCACATGTTCGAATCAAAAGATTTGACAAAATCAAACAAAACGATATGACATTCTTTAAAGCATAAGAATGAGTATAAGAGCAGGACTCTTACCGTGTATTAATCCGTTGAAAGGGAGCTGAGTGAAGAAGCAGATCATAGATGAACTGTCTCGGGCACTGATTGTCGAGCGCGCTCCCTGATGCGCGCCGCTGGGAAGGCTGATGTCAGTGATGATGAGAGAAAATCACCGAAGTTCACCACATATTTATCCCTCAGGAAAAAGGACGAAAATTAAGCAGAATTTCTCACAAACAGGCTTCCTCACATGTCTCCTCAGAAAAGCCCTCATTCATATGGTAACACGGCAAGCATTTATCATTTTTTCTTTTTTTTATTAGGCATAGTTATAAGTGTATCTGCTTTAAAATGTATATCTGGAAGTAAAATGATGTAATTTGGCATAAATGAAAGAGAAAAGAATAACACGGCGAGAAAGTAAAATATTTAGGTATAGGCTAGTAGCTACTGTCTCCTTCCTGTCCAAAAATTCTGCTAAAACAGCTTCATATGGTAGCATTCTTATTCGTCACTTTAAAAGCATTTGACTGGCGCAAAAAATAATAATAATAATAATAATAATAATTTTAGTACACTATTTGAAACCTGCCATCTTACTCATGGCAGCTCAGTTCTGATGCCAGGTTGTTTTCAGCCAATCACCTCAGCTGTTAATGATCTGGCTACTGTTGTGCTGTAGGAAAAATACATCATGATAAGACTGGTTTGTTTATCCATCACAAGAACATGCAGTCTTAAGCCCCAATATTTGATTGCAGGGAAAAAAATTCCAAATTCACGTCTAATTGTGACCGATAACATTCTTTTCTTTGTGAATACAACAATATACTTGTTTTTATTGATCACACTTTTAAAAGATGGAGTGATAAAGGCATTGTTTGTTTTTCTTTTAATTGATAATTATTTTTCTACATTCAATGACCTTATATCCTAATGTAATTTACATACAACAGGCTTATTCAGGTTGTGGCAAGGGCGTGTTTGATAATGAGCGTCACCTGTGCTGCACTGGTCTCGTATCTCTCACGGAGAAGTTATGTTATGTTATGTTATGTTATGTTATGTTATGTTATGTTATGTTATGTTATGTTATGTTATGTTATGTTATGATACAAATGAGCAAATGATAAAGCTTGGGTTGCTGAATATTCGATCCCTTACTTCAAAAGCACTTATTGTTGATGTTATGTTATGTTGCTCGCTAGATTCTGATTAAGTTTGTATAGTGCGTGAGCATGTTTGCATTTACAGTACTATGGTTGTGTGTGCATGCATGTATGTATACTTATGTATGTATATTTATATGTTTTGCATGTATGCACTTTCTTTTTTTATTATTAATGTGAAACGTGGAGCGTGAAAATAGAGACACCAGCCACCATAGTCACATGTTTGCCGGGAGCCAGAGCGCCTGACATCAAAGCAAATTTAAAAGTGTTGGCTAATGCTAATCGTTAATTCTCTAAGATTATTATTCACGTTGGCACTAATGATGTTCGACTCCGGCAGTCGGAGTTCACCAAAATTAACGTTAAAGAGGTGTGTGAATTCGCAAGTACGATGTCAGGCACTATAATTTGCTCTGGCCCCCTTCCTGTTCGCAGGAGTGATGAGATAGTTAGTAGACTGTCCTCACTCAATGGCTGGCTGTCGAAGTGGTGTCCGCAAAATAATATAGAATTCATAGACAATTGGAAAAGTTTTTGGGGCAGACCTGACCTGTTGAAAAGAGATGGTATTCATCCCTCCTGGGATGGTGCTGCTCTTCTCTCTAGTAATATGGCACATAGTCTTAGAGCTAAAACATGACAATCTGGTTACTTTAATTTATTAGTATCACTATAAAGCCGCTTTGGAACAATCTGTATTGTTAAAAGCGCTATATAAATGAAGATGACTTGACTTGACTATTATTATTATATACATTTTATAGATTATTATACATTTCATATATTATAATGTAAGGACTGGGCCAGGGTGAATCTGAATAACTAAATACCTTCGTGCTAAAATCCCAAAGCCTTTAGCCCCAAAAGGCCTGGAACTTGAAAAAACACACACAAACACACACACACACACACCTCCCCCACAGCTGACACCCACACTCAGGACAGAGCGTGGTGTCCGCTTACAAGACATTAAGACATTTTATGACATTTTTGGAATGTCCCAAAGGAACTTCTTTTCTTTAAAAGACATTCAACCAGATATATTTGATGTGTTTTTTATGTGTGTCCATTTGCCCATGTCACATTGGAATAACTGTGACTTTATCATTATGCATTTTTACATTTAACTGTCTATTCCCAGTATTGTTATACATCGTTCTTGGTCTTGTTTTAATTCTCATGATCCAGCGGAATTAATCAGATACAAGAAATTACAGTAAAAGTTATGATTCTATGTGCACCAGCTTTTTGGGACAGTAAGAACCAAAACTTAACATACTGTCAGAGCCTGGGGTTCTTAGATAACAGCATTTACGACCGCACCAGGAATGTCAGAGAAGTATGTCTCTCTCTCTCTCTCTCTGAATTCTAACCAAGGAGGAGAAATGAATCCTGTATTCATATATATATGCTATTATATATCCACTTGAGAATTGTATGAACGATGTATCTAAGTTCCCTATTTCATGAGTTGCCTTTCTGTGGTTTGGTCTATGTTTATCGACAATTCTAATTGGATAATGTTTCAAACTTTGCCAACTAATGTTTAACCAAATCCATTTGTGGCAAGTTTGGTCTCGATAAACTCCAATCTTCGTTCCCCATTTGTTAATTGACATTACATTTTGCTAAACTTTGTGACACATTAGTATTATAAGAATTGTGAAGATTCTTCTCTTAAACAACCGACGAAATTAGGGTTTCAGATGTCTCTCTCTGGAGACAAAGGGCCATAAACCCAAAGTCCCGCCTGTAAAATTCCAACCCTCTAATTGGCCAAGCCAACAGGAAGAGGCTGGATTTCTCCAAAAGTGATAAATGACGCTTCTCCCCTTCGCTCGCTCTCTTACTCCGCTGGTCTCCTCGTCTGCTGAACAATGTAGTCGTTGACTCGATTTCCCCTCGGGAAATCCCTTTTTGTTTTTTTGTTTCGTCTAAAAGTTTCGTCTTTTTCTTAAGTGTCCTACCAAGTTCACCTCCCAGGAAAGGAGGCGAACTTAGCCGATCTATTTTCTTTGGTAATGTTACCTCCAAGATTTTAAACCTCTGTTCAACACGCGCGCCAAGCAGCCCACGTGATGCTTCCTCACACACCAAGGAATCCTCTCACGCACGCGGCCAGACAAGGCCGCGCAGGATTGCCGCGATACAGAGAGACCAAGAAACTTGAGCAAGTATATCTCTTTATAGAGCTTCTAAGAAGTTTTAAGATGATGTTCCGTGTTGTTATCGGAGAGGTGAATGTCTTCCTGCCAATGAAATTCTCCCAATTTTCTCTGTTCTCTCTCTCCCCATCCCCTTTCCTCTCTCTCTCTTACTCGCTCACGCGTGTAAGTTATCCATTGTCCAAACTTGACGCATTTCTCGTTCATTGATGTCTTACTGTATTGTTCATTGATGTCTATGTGTTTGTAAATACCTATATCCCGTGTAACCGTAGTAAATACATAAGTAGTCATGCCTCTATTAAATTAATTATATATTCATTTTGATTGATGTGCTGTCTCTTTGCTCAATTTCAAGTCCCTTAAGTGCAAAAGGTCTTATGCTACATGCTTACTAAAATTAAAAATACCTTAAAGAGAATGTGTTGTGTTTATAGGGCGGGAAACCCAATTCTTCTGGCCAGAGAATTGCGTTTCCTGAAATCCTATAAAGTAAGATGATATTGTGGATCCCACAAATATTATCCTGACAATTGAGCTAATTTATTTTACCTGTTTGTGAAACATGGTCCGTGTAATTAACTACAATCAACTTGTGGTTAATTTCCGGGATTCACACGTATGCATGCAGGTAAAATGACAGATCCTCCCTTAGAGGGAGATTAAATTTAATGTAAGACTGATCTAATCCAAACATGTATGAATAATTATTAATTACCAATTATTAATTATGATATGCAAATTCCCCACGGATTAGATCCGCCCTGAATCCTTACAAAAATGGTGGAGAAAAATGCTAAGCACATTTTAAACTTGTTTTATGAGCAAAATCAGTTTTCAATCTATGTCTATATTGTGATTTAATATTGTACGTGCGCCTCGAGTGAGCGAACGCAATGCGAACTCACCACTGCAAAATAATGTCTGACATTCCGTTTGCCATTGTTAATAACTAAAAGTAAACTGCAGTTCATAGTATTAAATTTGTCCCACAAAAGACGAAGAAACCTCTTTTGAACGACGACATTTTTAATGTTAAACTCCCCTGTCCGAACGATGTTCTTCTGTCAGGGTGAAGACAAGATTTAGTGAATCGATGCTCTTTCACTATTCTTAAAAAGGCCTTATTTTATAATCGCTAGATTAACGATAAACTCCTGGTTAAAACATTGACGTAGCTACTCAATTGTAAAAACCTAAAGCATATTTAATCATAGGTGCTATTTGATATATGTTATGGGAGTCGAAAAACAGATGAATAATTTCTGTTTTCTCTCGCACAACGCAGCGACGAATCCTGCTAGATGTGCTTGTAAAACATAGCACCGAGAAAAAAAAAAATCCAACACTGAAAACATTTTTCATCATATATGCTATTTGATAAATGTTATTTGGATCCGAAAAACAGATGCCTAATTCCTGTTGTCCACAATTTACGTGTAGTGCAGCGAAGAAATCCTGCCACACACTTGTGTGAAATATAGCATCGAAAAAAATCCAAAACCTAAAAAACATTTTAAATCATAAAATGCTATTTGATAAATGTATTTGTATCCGAACGACAGACGTGTAATTCCTGTTGTCCCTATGTGTGTGTGTAGGAAAAATCCTGCCACGCCGTTTTGTGAAATATAGAACCGGAAAGAAATCCGTCGATATTTAAATTCCGCACTATTTCGGATTGATGCAGCAATTGAGGCGTGTAATTCTTTGCACGTCCTCTGAGACAGTCACATGTGAAAGCAGGCGGGTTGCAATGCTACTGCCAAACGCTAGGGCGCGCCCTTGAGTTTCCCAGTATCAGACGGCCTCCACGTCCTGACTTTACCCTCCATGAGCGA